CCCCCCCCCCCCCCGTCCTTCCTTCATAAGATTGCATACCAGTAGCAAGGAGTAAACAAAACCATCCTTTGATAGAGTTGCAAACCAGCAATACACACATTTTCTTCAAACGGAGGAAAAATGTGTCCCTCTTCCACTCCTTTCAATTCCTTCCTTCCTCCCCTCTTTCCTTACTTCCCTCAACTGCACTGCGAGCAACCATGTCAGGTCCATGTCTACCGTCTTCACCCAAATAAAACGCCTGGTCCTTATCGCTGCATCTGGTCTGGAAGTTGCCCAAAATACAGCTATAATGACCGGGTGTTCTACTCCCGTGAAGACAGTAATGCCTGGTCAAACTGCAGGGTACTGATTCTGATGTCCCTTCCCCCGCCCCTTTCAATCCCCCCTTCCCTCCCTCTTCCACCTTCCCCCTGTCACTCTCTTCCTCCCTCCCTCCCTCCCTCCCTCCCTCCCTGCCTCCCTCCCTCAATCCCTCCCTCCCTCCCTTTCTTTCTCCCTCGCCCACCTTCCCTCCATAACTCTTTTCTTTCCTTCCTTCCTTATGTTCCTCTTTCGTCTTCTTTCATTGCATTTAATCTGTCCATCTGCTGCACTGCAAGGAAGCACGGCAGGTCAATGCTTAACGACCGAATCGAACACAAGATATTACAGATTCTGATGACCACCGGAGACTGGACAAGTTGAGCTCTGCATCACTTTTATGTGCGAGAGCACTGCTAATCCTTCCAAATGGTCGAATCTGTTTTGAGCTGGGGGAGATGAAGGCAGCTGCAGTTCTGGAGAAGAAGTCCAACGAACGTGATTCGTGACGACAGAACGGCAACCTTTTCTACGAACAAATGGAAAGTCAATCAACAAAAGTACATACTAGCGGATTGGAAAATCGGAACTGAAGTACAAGACTGCAACACACGATAAAGAGAGCCTCTGTGATCTCCATACTGGACTGCCCAATTCATTTGGCAGGGAAAACTTGCCTTCGTGTCCTTTGGCCTTCATTTGATCTGCCAATGCAGGTATCTCACTGTTCTCTCTCTCTCTCTCTCTCTCTCTCTCTCTCTCTCTCTCTCTCTCACTGTTCTCTCTCTCTCTCTCTCTCTCTCTCTCTCTCNCTGTTCTCTCTCTCTCTCTCTCTCTCTCTCTCTCTCTCTCCCCAGGTGATTGCATCCCACAGCAGCTCTTACAAACCAAGGCAAGTCTCATTGATCACACATTTTCTCAATTTATGCATTTCATCCCTGTGCAACAAATGGAAAGTCGATCAACAGAAGTACATACTAGCGGATTGGAAAATCGGAACTGAAGTACAAGACTGCAACACACGATAGAGAGAGCCTGCCCAATTCTTTTGGCAGGAAAAACCTGCCGTCGTGTCCTTTGGCCTTCATTTGATCTGCCAATGCAGGTATAAAGAGGGGAGCTCTCTCTCTCTCTCTGGGGTGTTTCACGAACTGTTCACTCTCTCTCTCTCTCTCTCTCTCTCTCTCTCTCTCTCTCTCTCTCTCTCTCTCTCTCTCTCTCTCTCTCCAGGTGGTTGCATCCCACAGCAACTCTTACAAACCAAGGCAGGTCTCATCAATCACACATTTTCTCAATTTATGCATGTCATCCCTGTGCAGGAGCCATGCAAATCTTCTCTATATACCGAGCAAAGAAATCTGGAGAAATGTGGCCGAAAGAAAAACAAAAAACAGCTGCATTGCGCCTCACTGCTCGACACCTTGAGCACACACACACATTGAGAGATTACACGAAATCCACACTGGAGTCCAGAGATGCAAAGTCCTTAGAAATTCCAACAAATTATCACATTCAACAGTTTCGGAGATCCAGTCACCAATCGCTCAACAGCGCAGAATTCAGCAACCAATACCAGCATCCTCATCTAAGGTAGGTGACTCTCTTCTCTCCCTGGCACACTCTCGCTTTCTTTCTCTCTGTCTTCTCTCTCTCTCTGTCCCTCCTAGTCTTCTTCATGCATGCTCTCTCTCTCTCTTTCTCTCTCTCTCTCTCTACACTTGAGAATCTTGACTCTGAATACATCCGCTGCCACTCAGATATATCCCTACTATTAACTTATGCGGCTATGGCCGCCTTCCCTCTCAGTGCAGCGCTGCCCAGCAGGGCTCTCGCGCACATGCTACTCGCAGATAACGCACAAGTGCTTCAGCAGCACTTCCACGCTTCTCACAAATGAGCAATCTCCCCCAAATGTGGCTGGCCAGTCCTTATATTGACTTGGACTGAGCCCCTGCTTCTTTTGGCTTGACGTGGTACTGGTACACAATGCCCATGGCCTGCTTGCTTCAGAATGTCAAGGCCTGGTACTTTCCCGAATTTCGTGTGCTGCTGCTTGGGACTGTGAGTCACAACTTTCCATCTGTGGAAAATGACTTTCAACTGTGGGATGCAACTCTTGCCCCCGGGACACGACTTTTGCCTGGAGAAGCGTCCTTTGCCTGTGGGATACGACTTTTCAACATGAGACGTGACTTTTGCTCAAGGAATGCAACCTTTGCCTCTGGGATGTGACTATTCACCGGGTGCCTGTTGGACTCAACTCGTAAGGTACCCGACTGTGACCTTTCTGAACTGGCCGACTGGGACTCCCTTGGCCTCAGACCTTGACCCTGCATCGTGGAATGACTTTCACAGCACTGAGTCACACTGAAGTAATAGCCGTGGAATCCATGGGATGAACGGGTTTCAATTTCTCATCCGAAGCAACGTTAGCCTTTGACAGCATCTGCCCACTCCTCACAGGACTCCCAACACTACTACTCCCAATCTCCATCAAAATACCCTGCCTCGTTCATTTCAGAATAGTACATGTCGTCCATCAGGTAATCATCAACCTGCCAAAAACATGCAACAAGGGAGGGAAACATGTCAGAATCCCATCAAAGGAGGGGCCATTACCATCTCCATCCACGGTCAATCCCCAAGCCTTAGGGATGGAACTAGGACGTCACCCAGACCGCGTTCATGATTACGTTCTCACAGTGCGGTCACAAGGAGTGCATGGTTCTTCTTACCACGGCGTTAACTTGACCTTGATCGCCGTTTTTTTTATTACCTCCAAGGCTCTAAGTTTCCATAGAGGAGAGAAGGTTACGTTTTCTCCAGCTCCAGTATGTGACGAGTCAACATCGCAATTGTGTTAATTGAAACCACATACCCTTCGAACTACTGGAAGTGCTGTGCGCAAATGCTGGCGATCTTGTCATCAACAGCTCGAGAATTTGAGAAGCAGATGGACTCCACAACCAGAACAACCACGAAAGTTGAAAACAAAAAGATACAAGAGCAAGGAGTTCTCATGTTCATTGAACCTGCTCTTGGTATAGCCGGGGCCATAACCTTTCTTGAGACTCCATCCAACAATCCTCCAGGGCCCTTAATTTGTGTTCAGTCTGATTACATTTTAAGTTCATTTGAGTCCATTTTGAGCACAGTATGAGTTAATTATAAGCCAACTTCTATTAGTTCAAAAGGGATTGAAAAGGCCTCATTCTCAAATTCATGGGTGGGGGGGCCGAACTTCCCAAAGTTTTCCCCCCGCCAAAATTATTTCAGGGTGTGAGGCTCAACGCCTCGATAAGCCCTACTGGGCCCTGTTGCAAGGAAAATGAGCAACAGCATGATGACAATATCCAGAATGCACGATCACATTGAAAGCCAGATAGTATCTCAGTGTCCAGAAAGCAGCATTGCACCAATATAACACCAATGGGGATTCGTAACACTGAAAACCAATGTCAATGAGAGCTTGCTCTCACCACCACCAACATAAGAGTCCAGTCCCTTCTCCCTACTTGGCGCTTGGCGCCCAGCCTACTTCCTACGCAGCTACAGTCTGCCTACTAATTGACAATGCAACTGTTGACGTCAGCAGCCCACGAAGTACTTGAAGATTTCCCTCAATGCAGACCATCGCCAATACCAGGTATGTGCCCTCACATCATCATCATCATCATCCTTCTCTCCCCCCCCTCCCTGACTTACACCCAAGTCTTCCCTCTGTATACCCGAAGACCCCCCTTGCGCCTCACTGTAGACCAAGCCGGAGCCAGCTATGAAGGCTGGGCTATGGCGCTGCCCTCAGCAGCGCCCTGACTCGCACACGACCGCACGTGCTTGCACCTTGCCTCTCAGCGCCAGCAGCAGCCCACGAGCGTCCGCTCCAGCAGCGCTGCCTCTAGCATGCAAGTGCTGAATGCCAGCCCAGGCAGCAAGCTCTCTCCTATATGGAAAGAGCCTGCCTCGATTGGCGGCCTGGCTGGCCTGGGCCTCTGCCCAGAAGCGTCTGGTAGGCCCCAGGAGGCTGTGCCTCCGATGTAGCTGCTGGGCCTCCGTTCGGTTGGGCCTCCCAACTGTATGAGGCTGCGATTCTCGCCCAGGGCCTGCATTTCTGAAAGGCCTGGAGGTCTGTGGAATGTCTTTGCTGCGCGGCCTGAGTTTCCCTCAACCAATTGGCGTGTGTCACAACTGCCTGGACCCCAAATACGAAATTGACAGAAGAGGCCCTCTCGTGATTTGTTAGGCCCGCCTTCACTTAGGGCGGGCACATCTGCAACAGGGGCCCCTTAGGCTTGCCGAGGACCCAGATCCTCACATTCCCTCCTCCTTTTCTTCGATAGTCCTCTGAGAAGTCTTCTAATCTGCAGGCATATTTCCCCTGAGTTCTCTGTCATAGCCTGCAATAACTTGAGGTGCTGTTCGCATGAGTTCTTCTCTGGTGAACCACCGATCTTCGCTGGGATCCAGATGATGTATGAATCTGACACGGTATTGCATTCTCGGTTTAGGAGAACAGCCTCTGCCCGGCGGTTTAGGCACTGGCATCATTCGATGCTCCACGATTCCGTCGATGTCAACTTCACCATCCATGGTTGGGGGCAGCATTGATCGTCTGGAGGGAAACTGTGCAGTCTCTGCGAAAGGTACCAGCTTCGAGGCATGAAAAACTGGATCTGTACGGAGGTGAGGTGGGATGTGTGTCACATAGGAAGGTCCGTCCATCTGATCCCCGACTATGTCTAGGATCTCCCAGGGACCGAAATACTGTGGCATTAGAGATTCCCATTTCCTATCCCAGTTCAGATGTGACTTTACCCAGACCCCGTCCCCTACCTGAAAGTTAAAAGGCCGTCTGTGTTTGTTCTCAGATGCAATCATAGCATCTTGAGATTTCCTAATTTGTTCAACGGCCTGCTGCAGCATCTGTTCATATTTGACAGCAAATTCTATGCTGCCTGGTGCTGCAGTTGCCTGGTTCTCAGGTGTATGACCAACACTGCATGCGGGCCATGCTGGGAGAGGATGTGGAGGGTGATGGCACCAGGGATAGTCCATGCAGTAAAGACACGTACTTTCTATGACAACTTCCTGGAAGCATTGATGACACATGGCATGTTGCTGACATGTCATTAGTATGGAAGGCTGACATGCACAGTACTTTAAGCATGGCAGATCAAGGCCACAGCGGCATGCTGGACAAGTAATCAGGGGGTGGGGGGGATGAGGACAGGACAGGGGATCACAATTTTTGTGTGAGAGAGTAGCAGAGACCATCCCTGCATAGAGTTCGGAGCAGAGGCTATGTCGTGCACATGCCAACCGAACTCCACCCGTGCGACGACACAATGGGAGGGCGCATCCATCATCCTGTAGAGAGGTCCTTTCACTGTTTGTGGTAGAATCAGCCGGATTGCTCTCCGGGGGGGTGCAGTGCTTGCAAGTGCTCATCGACATACTGCTCCTGATGGACGATCCAGACTGAGTGATCCTCCAGCATTTGGTGATAGCAAGAGTTAATATTTCCCACTGTGTGCACCCTACCGCCATTGTCCCATAGGGTCCATGGATTATCTGCAAAGGTAAGAGCACTGAAATGACCTGGACGATATAAGATATATGGAGGAAGAAGTAGGGGAAGAGGAAGAAGAAGTAGATGCAGATGACCGAGAGAGGATGCTGCAATAGAGGACGTCGGTGGTGGCGGTGATGATGGTAGTGGTGGTGCTGATGATGATGGCCTGTATCATCATCCCATCTTATATATATGGGATGTCTGGCGTGCAGTCGTTGAGGCTTTACGGTCTTAGACTTCCTTCCCTGCTGATTGTCCGCACCGACGCACTCATTATTGGATACTCGGCGGAGGTTTCAGCATATAGCCAGATTTGCCTTTAACATTACTGGCATCCGCAGTGATGGCGGTGGTGGTGATGGTGATGGTGGTGGTGATGGTGGTGGTTGGGGTGGTCGGGGTGGTGGTGGAGGCGGCGGCAGCATCAGTGTTGGTGGAGGAGGTATTACTTTCAGCAGCAGCAGCAACAGTTGCCGTGTTGGTAGGATGCTGGCCTTCATCGCTTACAGCCACTTCGGTAACGTTCACATTGTTTACTGCAGCTGGCATGGTCTCGGGCTGAGATGGCGTATCGACATTAGTTTCTGCCATTTCAGCAGGGATAACAGGGAAGGGCGGGCCGTGTGTGTGTGTGTGTGTGTGTGTGTGTGTGTGTGTGTGTGTGTGTGTGTGTGTGAGTGACACACACACACACACACACACACACACAGAGAGAGAGAGAGAGAGAGAGAGAGAGAGAGAGAGAGAGAGAGAGAGAGAGAGAGAGAGAG